GCATGCCGACCTGTCAAGGGCAATTGAATTAAGAAGATTCTTGATCCTAGCACGTGAATCTCTTCAAGTGCAACGCTATAGTCAACCTTTGAGTTTTGGTTTTACATTTTGAACTGCATCATTGTTTCCAGATTCCCAATTATTCCATAATATGTTGTGCAGTCCTCGTATTCCTTTACTAGATATCATTCCAAAAATGTCACTAGTATGAATGTTGAATAGTCAATATTGAAGATTTTTGGGAATTATAGAGGACAATATACATTACATGACACAAATAGTCCTAATTGGTACCCTATCCAATTTAAAGAAATCCACTTATAATCCAGCTGGTATAGTAATAAATAGGCTAAAGTGTCATCCGACACCATGAACTACATCGGATTGTTCATGCCGTACCCTGAACTTTCATAACGTATATTTAGATCCACAAACTATTATTTTTATTTCACCTAGAACTTTTTAAAGGTTTCTAGGTTACTATGATGACATGGCAAAGGTTATTAGCTTATGTGGATCTTCTTTTTTAAATCAACCCCAAATTTTATTATAAATAACTAAAATCAGAAGTCCTATATCACTCCTCTTTCTAAGTTTCTTAGTTTTTTGCTTATGAATGGATTTTTATGCATGACCCTTAATTGCATTATTGTTTCTATTAAAAAAATAATAAAAAATAAAAATTCGAGGCATCCACATGTACTACAATTTACGTTTATAGCGGCGCCGCTGCTCCCAACTCTGTCGCCAGCCCAACCACGCCTAGCAGATGAACATTTAATTTCTCTCCTTCCTCTTCTCTTCGCTACTCAGAGAGTACCCCTGCTCTTCGCATATATTGATTGCCAAAAGGTCAATGTATTAAGGATGAAGCTTGCCTCGCTCCAAGAAGATTGAGAGGCTGAGAAACTGATAATATATATACCATATATATATATATATATATATATATATATATATATATATATATATATATATATATATATATATATATATATATATTCTGAGTATGAATAAGAAATGTAGTTTGAAACAAAGCATATGTAAGAGTGGATTCATATTCAAAGAACAAAATTTCACTTACAGCAATACCATTATATACTACACACCCATCACAAGTGTATATATATTAAGTTGAAGGGTGAAGGTGAAGCGAATAAGTTGTTCCGAACGTTGAACCAGCGGCGCCTCCATCTGCGGCGGTCTTCGAAAGTCCGGTTCTTGCATCACCGGAACGGAATTAAGGCGAGCTGAGAGCTAGGCAAGCTGAAGCTCATTTACTGACTCTGCATAAAGTATGGAAAGCGGAGAGTGAGTGAACGGTGGAGAACTGTTTCGAAAATTTTGATTTTTCAAATATAATATAATATTTATGAAAATGAAAAGGTTAAACCACACACACACAAATATATATATATATATATATATATATATATATATATATATATATATATATATATATATATATATATATATATATATATATATATATATATATATATATATATATATGATGGATGAATGGAAGAGATGAGAGGGACATGAAATGTAATATATATTACCTCGGAGCTTGCAAGAGACAGGGCGGCAACCGCCGACGAGTTGATCATAAAGAAATTTCATTTGTTGCCGCCGGTGTTTCTCTGTCTAGCCACGGCCACTTAATTGGCTATTTTTTAAACAGAGAAAGATGGAACTTGATCGTTTTCTTCATTGAAAATGCTGGGGAAGTGAATGTCCAAGCGCAGAGCTGTAGAGAATGACCAAGGTGCTAAAAGAGAAAAAAAAAGTCCATGTCAGCATATTATTACCTGCAACTTGTAGGTAACCTTTAAAAAGTCCTAGGTGAAAAAAAAAAAATAGTTTGTGGATCTAAATGTACATTATGAAAGTTCAGGGTGTGGCATGAACAATCCGATATAGTTCATGGTGCGGGATGACACTTTAGCCTAATAAATATTTTTTTAAATGAGTTAATACTCAAAATCGTCCTCGACTATAGTGATTTTTCTCAATTTCGTCCTAAACGACTTTGGTGACCTAATATCGTCCCAGACTTTTGTGTTTTGCTCAATTTAGTCCTCCATTTGTTATTCCATCAAATTGGTGTTAAATAAAGGGACAATTCAGTAATGTCAATATTGATCCCTCTTTACTTTCAACTTGTGAAGTGCGAAATTCCTCTTTCTTGTACGAATTACACCCAGAATTACTCCCGGATCTGCAAATCAAATTTTATATTCGCAGTTTTAGGAGTAATTCTGGGAGTAATTCGTAAAAAAAAAAAAAGGATTTCGCAGTTCACATGTCTATGAGTAAAGAGATGCCAATATTAAAATTACTGAATTGTCTATTTATTTAACACCAAATGGACAGAATAACAAATGAGGGACTAAATTGAGTAAAAACACAAAAGTCTGGGACTAAATTGAACGAAACACAAAAGTCTGGGACGATATTAGGTCACCAAAGTCGTTTAGGACGAAATTGAGAAAAACCACCATAATCGAGGACGATTTTGGGTATTATCCCCTTTTTAAATATACTTTATATGGTAATAGAAGTGATCTCACGTTTGAATATTGTCAATAGAATAAGAGCCATTGAGAAAAGCTTCAATTCCTTTCACGTAGAAGTGTTATGGTGGATCAAAACTCATGGGTCAATCCCAAATCGCCTAGCGGTGGAACAGGTAAGAGCAATACATTTCTAACCCATAGTGAAACGAGTCTAGTGGGCCTCAAATATCATTGAAAAAAAAAGATGTAACTTATTCGAACTTCATAATTGTAAACATCATAGTATAATTGGTTTTTTATTTGTTAAATACACCAGTAACATGTGATTCAAGACTCAAGAAACGAGTTTGATTCACTTTAAGTGTGATCTTATATTTGAGTATTATCGATTGAATAAGATGCGTTGAGACTTTACATAGAGGTGTCAAGGTGGGTCAAAATAACCTGACCGTATGATGGTTTAGGGCAATAAATTTTAACCCAACCCATGAAGAAATGAGCCTTACAAGCTTGACCAAAGCGGGTTAACACTTGAAAAAAAAAAGGTTGGAATATCCTTTAACCCTACATCTATTTATCTAGTTATAATTTGGGAACAATTTATCTAATTATTTATAATTCTCTATATATCTTATTTAGTCTTTACAACACTACATTCTCAAGAAAGCAAGAATCATCATATCTCCCTCCTTCACTCCTTGTCTGGGGAGGCAACGTAACATTATTGTTAGTGCATCTCCATTTTTAGTTGTTTTAAACCCACTATCGATGTCACTCTATTAACTCGTCACCATGTGCATGACTTCTCCGAGCAACCTTTATCATTGCTTTGAACCTCAATTGTCGTGATTCGAACCCACTACCCTCACCTTACCATTAATTGACACAACTATCCATTGAAGCATTTACAAGTGTAGTACATTAGAGCTCTCAAACAAATAGATTAAGCAAGATCTCAGACCATAAAGTTGTATTAATTAATGTTTAGTGTTGACTTGAATTAGTCATTAAAGTATTTGTAGGTGGAATACATTGAAATCTATGTAACAAATAGACCAACTAGCCACTCAAAAATGATTTATCAAATTAACATTAGCCTAAATTAGTCATTAGAGCATTTAGAGGTGAAACATGATCGAGGTTCCATCATATAGATTAAGCAAACTCTCTAACTAATAAAAGGTTGTATCAATTAATGTTTAGCGTTGACTCAGACAAGTCACTAAAGCATTTATAGGATTATAGGTGAAACATGATGGAAGTTCCGTCATATAGATTAAGCAAACTCTCTAACTAATAAAAAGTTGTATCAATTAATGTTTAGCGTTGACTCAGACGAGTCATTAGAGCATTTATAGGTGCCAGCTGGTGGAACACACTAGAAACTCTTCAAAAAATATATTAAGGACGCTCATTGACTTATAAAAGAACAATTGTATCAATTAATGTTTAACGTTAACTAAAATAAATTATTAGAGCATTTACAAAAATAAAAAAAAAATAAAAAAATCAAAAGCTCTCTGTCCAATAAAAAAAAGTTGTATCAATTAATATTTAGTGTTGACCCAAATTCATCATTAGAACACTTACAGTGAAAACATGTTAGAATAAATTAATCTCATAAATTATAAATAAATCAACCAATATAATCATACACTTTAAACATATGTTCATAAATAAATCTTAAAACTTATATCGAGAAAAAAGACACTAATCTTGTTAACTATATTAGTTAACTACTATAAATATACGAACACCAAATTAAACACAAATAATAGAACAATTTTGAACCATTTTAACATAATTTTACTCAATATTTAGTGAAAAACTTTGTACAATAATCAATATCACATCACTCTCATCATAGCTTTATTTGATTTTTCTCTTGAAACAAAACATAGAACTCAAAAGGTCTAATGTCTATCTGCCACGTTAAGACAAATCATTTAACTTTTACAATCAATACATTTCTCCTTCATACTACTTAATATTTAATATAACTAATATTTTAAAAAGAAAATTCTTAAAATTAGGCTTTTTCTGAGTTGAGACTCCCAATTAATCCAATTATGCATCTTTTGAGGAAATTACATCGGCTCGGCTGGACGGCTGGCCCATAACTCGACTAGGGAAAAGTTGTTAAAAATAAAAAAGAAAAAAAAAACCTCAAAGTATTACTCTATAAATATAAAAAAAAATGTACAATATCAAAATAATATGGAATTATTGTTATCAGCTATTAATTACGGAGTATATATATTACTTGTCAAATTTAAATTAAATAAATAAATAAAAGGAATTTTAATTTGTGAGTACACAGTCAAAACAAAATGGTAGACCATGGTTTTTGATAGAGAGAGAAAGAGAGACAGTCCGTACAAAATATGGTGACGCGTGACCCCATAAACGCGTTTCTTTCTTTCACCCCACCCCTCACCCCCTCACCGCCCTATTTATTGCCACTGCTCTTACTATCATTTCAGCTCCTATTCCCTCTGTTCTGCATATCTCTCTGTCTATATATATATATAATCTCATCACTCTCTCTACTTCAAACTTGAAACCTAAAGTTTCTTCTTTTATGGACTGAAAAGGTGTTCGGAAATGGCTTCTTCTGAGAATTTGATGGCGATGGAGCCGTGGGGGGTTTTTCGTCCTGGGTTCGTTGATCCTTGGTTCGCCGACGTGTTTTCCGGTGAAACGGAGGCGCTGACTAAGGTGTTGCAGAAATCGATGTCGGATGCTCCGGTGGCGGCGGCGCCGCCGGTTTTCAAGGCGGAGGAGATGCTGGTGGTGGGGACTCCCAGCGCTTCCGGGCCGACGGTTTCGGGCGGGTCGGAGAACGAGACGGCGGGGTCGAAGCGGCGGAGCGTGGGCGGCGGCGCGGCGAACGGGAAGATGAAGAAGCGGAAGTCACGCGCGGCGAAGCGGTCCACCACGACGTACATCACCGCCGACGCCGCCCATTTCCGGCAGATGGTGCAGCAGGTCACCGGGTTCAAGTTCGGCGGGCACCTGCCGGTCGCCCCCATCCTGAAGCCGGAGCCTCAGCGCGCCGTTCAACGGCTCCAGCCGAGCGGCGCCTGCCTCCCCACTCTCGACACCTCCGCTTTCTTGCTCGACCAGACCAAACCGCAACCGCAGACGGTGGACCCCACCACCGCAACACCTCTACTCCAGCCGCCGGCGACGCTCATCTCTCCTCCGCCGCCGCCGAGAATGGAAGCCGACGTCAGCTGCGCGTCAGCCTTCGACCTTGACTTCTTCTCCAGCTTTCCCACTCTGGAGTCATGGAAAACAGTAATGTAGCCAAGGAACTAAGATAGACCGCGTTTGGCAACGTAAACTTCCTTAACTTGTGGGATAAAAGTTTAGGGAAAATAGGGGAAGGGTATAATGGGAAAAAAATGTTCATATTTTTGTAGATGTCGGAGGGAAGGGAGTTGGGAGTCTTCAGTCTTTGTATTTTGTGTTCTGCAGAATCATTAGAATCTGAATCTCATTTCTGTCATTCCCAACTTTACCCCAACTCCATTATCAACTATCCAAACGCGTCTTATTAGCTCAAATTCACTAAGATTATCGTAATTTTACTCGAAAAAGAACAATTAAATAAATGAAATATAATTCTGTTACTTAAATTTTACGAATTTAATCATTATTAAAGTTGACTAAGTTGGGAGTTATGTTTGGGTCGACACAATAGAGATATATGTTGATTGTTGATATATTAAGTCTAAATTTTTAATTCAAACAAAGAAAATGACGTGTTAATAAGATATTTACTTTTGTATTTTATTTTATTTTATTTTACAAGAATACCAATATGTGTATACTGATGGCATGTTAGGTTAGTGTAGCAGAGGCTTGACTTGGGAGTCTCCATATGACATTTTTATTATTATTTTTAGTTGTCTTTTAAAATTAATAATAAAAATAAAAATTAAATAGGATAATAAATAAGTAGAGAATATATTTGAGGCATATCGCTTACCGGGTCATGCAGCTGACTTTGATTCTCCTCCGTCAATACAACCAAGACTTGGATAAGCATGACGCAGTATAACGTATCTTGCTTCATGCATTCTACCCTTTTAATTTACTTTATTAGTATAAGTATTGCATTTTATCTTGATCCAAGTATCTGATCTGTTTAACAGATAAAATTTGTGAGATAGTTTCACATAAGTATTTATCAATAATTTTTTTATTATTATTATATTGTACTGATATTGAAATAAGAGAAAATAAAATTGTGAGAGTTGATTGTTCAGACAACATAGGTATATCTAGGTGAGAATTGAATGAATTTCCATTTTATTTTATTGTATGATAAGGGCTATTTGGTAAGGTAGAATCATATTAATGTTTATACGGGTTATTTTGATTGATTCAGAAGAAAGTGGTTATAATTTTTAGTCAATCATTTTGGTTTCTTCTTTTAATAATTATTTTTAATACAAAAATGTGATGAGAGTTTTCAATATTTTGAGAGAAATTCAATTCATAAATCATGAAATAAGCTGTATTATGAAAATTATAGGCGATGATACATAAGAGATTATACCGTTCATGTTAGAATGTGAATCATCAATAAATATTTATTTTTAATAAATTGAATGTCATTTAAATGTAGTATAGTTTCATTTTTAGGTGGTATACTAAAAATAAACTTTCAAAAAATAAAAATATAATATATTAAAAATAAACTTTTAGAATAATAAAAATAAATGTGTATGATAATAATTCACCTTGCAATGTTGATCATCCATTCCAAGAACATAATTTATTTATTTTTTGGAAAATTGCACCTTTTATCCCTAAGTTATAAGGTAATTGTAGAATTCGTCCCCGAGTGTTGGTCATGCTCACTTTTCGTCTTTAAGTTATCATTGTCGACTTGTCGTTGCACTTTTCGTACTTTCGCGCTTACTTTTCCTCCATGAGTTATACTGAAATTACAAATTTAGTCTCTATTGTTTTATTAGTAAAAGGACAAAATGTAACATCAATAATAACTTAGGGACGAAAATTGAGTATAACCAACACTTAGAGACGAATTCTACAATTACCTATAACTTAGGGATGAAAAGTGCAATTTTCTCCTTTTTTTAAAAAAAATAAAATAAATAAATAAAAAGACTTTTCTGTCGTAATATTCAGCCATCTTCTAGAATACTAGCTATCACGTGCCTAACTGCTTACTCAATTGTTACTCCGTACTCGTAGTCCGTATTATTTTACATATAAAATGTAAAATAAATAAATATAAATTGAGGTAGAAATGGTTAAAGGGGGATAAACTTGACTGGAATATAATTATTTATTTTTATTTTTTTGAGAGGTAAAACTTAATTCATCATAACAGCACTTAGAATGACTTGAATATAATTATTAAAAAGTGAAATATTTATAATTTAAAAACAAATTATCAAAAATATATATTCGAAAGGGCAAACTGTTTCCCAACTAGAAGCAGTCTTGGTATTGAAAAAAAAAAAAAATCAATTTTGAAAAATAAAGGTTGTCAATTATAAGAAGAATATATTAGTCTTTGGTGATATTATTTTTTATTAAAGATTTCAAAGTCAATCTTTATTTAAGAGAACATCAAATTTGAAACCTTTTTTTTTTTTTTGGATATATATATATATATATATATATATATATATATATATATATAAACAATAGGATCAAATAAGAACTAATAATCAAGTAAAAATAGCATATTAATTCAAGTCGTTAATTTGATATAATCAACGACTGCAAAGTGCAAAGTACGGAAAAAATGCCGTAGCGTTTTATTAAATGTTTCAAACTTAAAGTGCATGCACATTACAACAACAACAAATGTAATCGTTGATATGTAATGGTGCAATCTACCATTATTGTATACTTGTAATTGTTGCACGATGTACTTTTAAAATTTCAATTTTGAGTACACACTTACATATCAACCGTTACACTTATAGTTGGGTAGTCCCAATCGAATTGATCGGGTAGTTGACTTGATAATCACAATGTTTCAAATTTGACTTTATGTGAAGAGAACTGCCTATTGACCTTATGGTTTGAGTTGGTTATCTATATGCAACATATGTTGGTTTACCTCCTTACGATCCCTTTTCCAGATAAGATAACAAGGAGGGCTTCACCCACATGACACTTTTAAGCAGCGACTACTGACTTTCCCTTGAAATCAAAGTTATATTTATAGAGGGGCAACTTCAACCAAGTTAGTCAGGTTGTTGACTTAGTAATCACAAAGTTACAAGTTCTACTCCTAACGAGAACAACCTATTAGCCTTCTTTGCTTGAGCCGGTTAATATAAACAACATAACATTACAAAGTAAATTTTATCCAATATACACCCTCCTTATAATAATACGGAGCAATACAACAAAAGTTACGGAGTATATTATAGTTATTGCTTGTAGCACGTTGGCAATTGAAAGCATATGGTTGAAAATCCTTAAAATTAAACTTTTTAAGTAACTTAATTTCGTTGAAACTTTGCCAAGGACCTTGTAGGCCTCTCCCCCTACCCACCCCATATATAATATTTGTATGTATATATATATTAGTTTTTTTACGCGCTTTGCGCGAATAAGATAATGCCCAATACTTATTTTTAAATAAGTATTTCAAAGTATATCAATGTAATATTATATAGAAGATGTTCATGTAAAAGTAAATAAATGTTGAATTTGTTTATTTAAATCGGTAATTTAAAGTATATAAATGGAAGATAATACATGAGAGATTGATTATATATAACTGTCACAAAAATAAATGTTTTCAACTTTGTAATAACGTTAATCTAAGTACTAAGTCTAAAAGCGATAGTCTAACTAAATATTCTTTTTTGTTTAAATTTCTAATTCTCTTTTGGGTAGTATTGTTATTGTTTTCATCTTCAATACATGTCCTTTTTTTCTGTTATTGGTAGTGTGTCATGTGCAATTGGGTTATTGGTGGCATCATAGAGGAATTCATCATGCAATGAGATTATGGTGTATGAAGTTTTAGATTTGTCTTGTTGTGTATATGACTGAGATCTTAGTTGTGCTATGAAATTTTTATCTTACAAGCACATGTTGATATTTTATAGTGATAATTTTTCCCTACATGTTTCATGTGTTGTGAGATATCTAATTCTAAATTAATTAAATGCGTATGTATTATTTTTTGTTGTAGCTACTAATTTATTTTTAAATTTAAGTAATAAGAGCAATAAAGTGGGAAAATTATGCTATGGAACCGTTTCCACATTGCAAGGTGGATATGGTTCTAAAACTGTTCATAATTATGAATATATAGTTCAAAAATTATGAACATATAGTTCTATAATTATGAATATAGAGTTGTGAACATATAGTTCTGTAATTATGAATATAGAGATTCAATAATTGTAAATATGAAGTTAAAAAATTATGAATATATACCTTTATAATTATGAACATATATTTCAATAATTATGAACATAGAGTTCTGTAATTGTGAATATAGAGTTCAATAATTGTGAATATAAAGTTCAATAATTATGAATATGAAATTCAAAAATTATAAATATATAACTTTATAATTATAAACATATAATTCAGTAATTATGAACATAGAACCATGTCCTCATTGCAAGGAGGACACAGTTCCACAGCATAATGATTGAATAAAGTGGCGTACATACTTTTCATCAACAATAATGAAATCATTAATTTTTTTTTTATTTATTTCCATTCGTTGTTGAGACAAATTGTTTTGAGAGTTTGTCAATGACAATTGCTGTCAATAGATGATAATAATAAATAATTCAAAATATAAGATTACAATAGATATTATTATAATAATATAGTAAAAATTAACTTACAAATTTCTTTAGAAGTTTTCATGCATTGATAAAAACATAATTGAAATATTAAGTTTTGTTCTCAATAATCAAAAGAAGATTAATTAAACGAAAAAAAAAAACTAAACTTAAATTTATTATTTTTTTAATGAAGAAAAATCAAATGATTTTCAAAGTTCATGATTTATAATCATTGAATGCTATGTATTTAGTCGCGCTAATTATTTGACCAAAATTTATGTTAAATTTTATATTATATTTTTAATACATTTTAACATATTCGTGGTATATGTTTAACAATTATGCTAACTCTAATTGGAATAGGGTTCGAACTTAAGACCTTTCTTATAGAAATTAATAAGTAAGTTAAGAATAATAAATAGTTAACGGAATATTCCGTTAATAAAGTTTATACTAACGGAATTTAAGGAAAGAAAATAATATAATAAAGGGTAAATAAGGAAAATCATTAAAAATACTAAAATCAAAATAATATGAACCATTCATTTTAAGAAACAATTAGTACCTACATTTTTTTTGTTCCAGTTAAGAGCCTAACATTATTCGCTCTTATTAAAATTGTATAGATGTAGATTGTAGATATATGGTACATGTTTGAGTATTAGTATATAAAAACTGTTGATTGTTAATAAGAA